AGAGAGAACTCTTCCTCCCTGGAATATAACATACGGGGGAACCGACTAAAATAAATACAAAAACAACTTAAAAATCAGAGTTTGCAGGTTTCTTCCTCAAGAAAATGTCCCTTAAACTCGCTGGGCGTTCCCAGTTTCCCGATCCTCCCCAGTAGGATTAATCCCCCGGAAGACTTCTGGAAGAACTGGTTTCAGCGCTCTTACTTCTGACCACTTTCCTCACCAAACATCAAGAATCAACTTCCCGAGTCAGAGGCCGTCAGCCAATATCACCACACAAAGATAACAGATTAAACCTTAATTGCACAACATGAGATAGGAAGTTAAATAATAAAAATTAGGAAGACGTGTTGTGTTTGTTATCTGAATTAAGAGCCAATCCGCTCTTTGATCATATAATAAAAAGTAAATAAACATAATAAACAGTATTTTAACGGCCTTAAAAACAGAAAGAATCACAGATGAGCGTCTCTCTGAAGGAAACTTTAAACACTTTAACCCTGACAGACAAACCTATACACTATACTTATATACTACTACTATACTATACAATATACCTCTGGCGATAAGACTGAAAGACGTTGAATGTATCTACAAAATCAATGTGATCAATAATCAGCTAATCGTTTCAGCAGTGGCTGAAAAAATGCAACTTTTAGACAATAGAAGGTGCATTCAGATAACTGCAGCAAATCGCTCTTCACTACACTAATCGCCCATTTAACAGTTTGCACTTACTGATCAATGTGAAATATCATATCAATATATATATGTTGCTTTTTTATGGCTAGCAGCTAGAAGGACGTTTTTTAGAGAAATGTGCTAATTCGCTTTCCGTGTCGAGGGTCAGACGAGAAGATTAATAACGTCTGCACGGCAAATATGAAGCTACAGGCTCGTTACCGTAGCTTAGCATAAAGACTGGAAACGGGGAAACAGCTAGCCTCAAAGTACTCTGATATCTGCTTCTATGTGAGATCATCTTGTATTTTTTTTTAGGTGAAATTGGTTGAATGAATTCTGTTTGTGGCGTCAGACAATAGGCCTATTTCACAGCAGCCATTTT